GGATGCTTACCAGCCAAACACAGGGAATAACAAACCTTTGTTCTAGACAATGTCTGGAAATTGATCTAATGGGCAGGACTTAACAACAGCTAAAATTTTTGTGGGTAGTTGAAAAACATAAATTTTGGAGATGGACTTCGCTTTGTAACTTAACTAGTAACATGATACTGGACAAGTAATTTAACCTCTGTAGGCCTCAATTTCCTTATCCATGAAATGGAGAAAATAAGACTTAGCTTTCGGGGTGTTATAACATTTAAAGATAATGTAGGTAATTTTCCCAACATTGTATCTGTCACATTACATTGCCACTAACAAATGGTATTTGTAGATGCTGTTATTACTTCATTTTCTAAAGTCCAGCACAATGTTGATTATTAATTCCCCATTAACTTAGTGAAATCTCTTTTCAGGATAAAACAGACAAACAACAAAAATATTAAAATCTAGGAAAATCCTATTATCACATTAAATAAACACACCCAATGCAAGAAGGACAAAAAATCTCTTTTAGAGTTGAAAATTACTGTATTAACCATGGCTCCTTCCTGCTGTCATTGTTAAATAACCCTTGGAGATACTGCTTCAACATCCATAAATATGGGAGATTTTAGTCTTCATGTCATCAGTTGTGGTCCATTTACAATGAATGAACTTTGCCATGAGCACCGGGCCCATTTCTTATATTCGTACTATCCCAGTAGGTTTGTGATAGAAACAAGTTTGACAGTGATGACAGTATGACTTTGGTAGAGCACACTGGGAAGAACACCTGATTGAAGAAAATGAAGTAGAAAGAGAAATCCAAAGAACAGAGGAGTGAACTTGAAAGGAATGAGCAGGAAAATCTAAACAGAAACAAGACCAATGCAGAAATAAACAAAGAATTTCAAATATAGTCAACTGAGGCCAGGCACAGTGGCTCATGCCTATAATCCCAGCACTTTGGGAGGCCAAGGTGGGCAGATCACTTGAGGTCAGCAGTTCAGGACCATCCTGGCCAACATGGTGAAACCCCATCTCTACTAAAAATACAAAAATTAGCCGAGCATGGTGGTGTGCACCTGTAAACCCAGCTACTCGGAAGACTGAGGTAGGAGAACTGCTTGAAACTGGGGGGCAGAGGTTGAAGTGAGCCGAGATCACACCACTGCACTCCAGCCTGGGTGGCAGAGCGAGACTCAGTTAATGAGAGCATTGGAGAGCGTGAGTGGTGGGGCAGAGATACAGAAAGTCTATTAGGGAAGGTGGGGATCATAAGAAAGGTGGCTCAGGTGGTAGTTACCAGAATGAAATATTTTGGATCAAGTCAAAGGATGGGAGAGAAATGAATCTCTCTCTGTTGCCCAGGCTGGAGTGCAGTAGCAGGATCTCGACTCCCTGCAACCTCCGCCTCCCAGGTTTGGCGATTCTCCTGCCTCAGCCTCCCAAGCAACTGGGATTACAGGCATGCACCACCATTCCTGACTACTTTTTGTATTTTTATTACAGATGGGGTTTCACCATGTTGGCCAGGCTGGTCTCAAACTCCTGACCTCAAGTGATTCACCCGCCTCGGCCTCCCAAAGTGCTGGGATTACAGGAATGAGCCACTGTGCTTGGCCCATATCTGGATTCTTCCAGCTGCAGAATGGAGAATACTTTGTAGTAAAGACTTATACTGAGGATGGGGAAACCAGTTAGTAATTGGTTAAAATCATTCAGGCAAGAGATGATGGTTGTCTAAACCAGCATGTGTCCATGGAGATGGGAAAGAAGTGGTTGGTTGCAGAATTTCTTTTGAAAATAGATTCAGAAAGATTTACTGATCCATTGGCTATGGGGAATGATCAGAATCAAAGGTAATTCCCAGATTTCTAGCTAGATATTTGGTTGGGTGATGGTGTTACTCTCCTGCAATTGAGAAATTGAGAGTGGAGGGGAGGAGAAGGAAGTTTATGGGAGGAAAATGATGAGTTCATTTTGGCCGTATTGATTTAGAGATGCCTGAGACTCCAAGGAGAAATTTTGTTTTCAATGATTTCCCTTGATCATATCAAGGAGAAATTTTGAGTTAACTTCTAGATATCCATTACAGACTTCTGAGTTAAGACCTGGGCATCTTTAAGTGCTAAGATTTAGCAGGAAAAAATAAATATTGGAGGAAGAGGCAAAAGAGTGAGAAGTTAATTCATGTAACATGGTCCCTGGGAGGACGAGAGTAAGGGATCCATGCGCAGGTGGAGGGATGACCTTGGATAAAGAAGAGGGCCACTTCTTTCAGTGCAATAGCAGGAGAGACCCCAAAAAAGGGCATTCATGTAGGTAAAGTTGTCATTTTTATGGAAGGAAGTCAAGGAAGTTTCTGTCTGGCAACTTCCATTTACTCTAAAAAGGAGACACAGTCATCTGCCAGAAGGTATGATGGATACAGTTCTGAGGTTTATCAGGAGGAGAAAATGTGCCAAAGCCATTGTGAAAAGAGAAGAAAGGAACCAGAATTATTGGGATTATTTCTGTCAAGAGTAGAAGGCTGATGTTTCTCTTCTCCTGGAGGTTTTCTTTTGTTTGGTTGTTGTTGTTGAGAGGAAGTTTAGTGTTCCTTGTTCTTTGGTCTATTGTATCACCCACCCATGTCATGTTTCTAAAATTATTTCAGATAACTTCTGGAACAATGTATATAAACCTCCCCTGCATTCAAGAAGCAATTCTGAGTTTTTATTGTTATGATCTAGTCACACTTTCCATAACTCCGAGCCTCGGAACTAAAACAGGGCTGGCATTTGTTAGGTGGTGTCCTCACCAGGGCACAGATCCTAGCTCCCATTTCACCCAGCTTTGCTTGATATGGTGAAGAGGGCGTTAAGATACCATTGGAAATGAAATAATAAGAAAATCAGGCAGGGTGCGGTGGCTCATGCCTATAATCCCAGCCCTTTGGGAGGCCGAGGTGGGTGGATCCTTGAGGTCAGGAGTTTGAGACCAGCCTGGCCAACAGGGGGAAATGTCCATCTCTACTAAAAATACAAAAATTAGCCAGGTGTGGTAACACATGCTTGTAATCTCAGCTACTTGGGAGGCTGAGGTGGGAGGATCACTTGAACCTGGGAGGCAGAGGTTGCAGTGAGCTGAGATCACGCCACTGCACTCCAGCCTGGGTAACAGAGCGAGACCATCTCAAAAAAAAAGAAAAAAAGAAAATCCAGATATGATCATGCCACTCTCCTTTCAAACAATGGCTTCCTGTTGCCCTTTGGATAAAGTATATACTCCTTACTAAAGCTTACAATACTGTCATGGGCTACTTCTACTGACTTTTTAGTCTCATCTCTTGCCATAACACTTTAGTCATTCTAAATGTCTTTTCGATTTCTCGTAATTGCCATCTTCTTTACCAAGCTAAAACTCCTCAGGCTTCTAGACTAAATTAGTGCCCCTCCCTACCTGCTCTATGCTCCATAGGGTATTTTATTGTAATTCTTCCTTTCATTCTTTGCTAGACTATATAGGCAAAGATTGTGTCTGTCTTGCTTATCCATTTATCCTTCCCTTCCCCAACACCAGCCCCTTCTACCAGCCACTCTAGTGTTCTGTTCAGTGTCTGGTGTCTAGTAGATCCTTGGTAAGTATTATCAAAAAAATTAATGGGAGGCTGAGGCGGGAGAATGGCGTGAACCCGGGAGGCGGAGCTTGCAGTGAGCCGAGATCACGCCACTGCACTCCAGCCTGGGAGACACAGCGAGACTCCGTCTCAAAAAAAAAATTTCAGAGTTTTTATTATCATTTCATTTACTAAACTCAATCTCAATTCTCCTATGGAGTATCAGGTAATATAATCACAGAACTTTTTAAAAAATCTCATGTCTGTGGTGATAAAGAGAAATTAAGTTTGTATATTTCCAGAACAATGAATGCTGACATCTTTGGCATTAATCTTTAAGACTTCAAGGTTTGTAGCAATTACCACTTGTTTTATAGTCATTTAGAAAAATCTCTTTGTCTCCATATGGAGGTCGTATAAATGTAAAGTTATTTATGTAGTCATTTATGCATAAAGATAATAACTGCCATTAGCAGTGAAGGATCTTCAAGAAATTCTTTTATCTTGGAATAGAGATAATATGATAGACAAGACAATCGTTGAAAGTTCTAATATGGCCAACATCATTTCAAAACGATTTGTTAAACACTTACTAGTTACAGTATTTCACCTTATAAATCCTACAATTCTAGAGCCAGGAGAAAGCTTCCCTGTCATTTTGGCATACTTCCTAGACACCGTCTGGGAATTTAGTCTACAACATCTCTGACCGTCATGACCTAACTTTGACTTGAGAACCTTTGGGAATTGGAGTCCCTTGCTGGTGAGGCTCCCTGGCCCACTAATAGGTGCTCCAGTGTCACCGTATTTTTTCTTAGAATATCTTTTCTCTTCTCTAAATGAACATCTCTCTCCCTGTCACTTCTACAAATTGGTCCACTACTTCAGGCCTCAACTTAAAAGACTTTTAATATGAGAAGGGAAGAAGTAGTGTGAGCTTCACATTGAGCACTCAGCATTCTGTAGGCTGCATGATGGATTCACTTTATGTGACCTCACTAACTCCTTAAACAGTCTAATAAAGTACACAGCATTATGGCATTTTACTCAGAGATAAGTCAGACTTTCCCCATTCGGTTACCTAATGTTGAAACCCAATTTTTTTTAATGGAGAGGTTCTGAGTCAAGAGCCTGGTATGCTCATTTTTATCTGTTAATGATCAGTTTCGTGGAATTGGCTTCCTTTTATTATTTCTAAAATTGGGAGCACAGCTCTTATTGTCTTAGGCAACCTCAGAAGGATGTTTTTTGACAACAGAGGCTTCACAAGTCATGTTAATGGACGTCCTTTTGCTACAGGAACATATCATAGCCTTTGAAATCACACCCAACAAAACTCTATTGCCCTTTAAAAATAACACTTTTCTTTTAGAAATAATTCAAACCCTGGGAGAAATTTGGCTTATTGTGTCCCTTTCAGACTTGGGAGAAAATGTCTATGCTGGAGAGCAATAATTTTCATCGCAGCCGGAGAGCACCTATCAACACTACGGCAAGTCCTAAACAAACAGCAAGTCCTTAAGTCCCCATTGGGAGACTAAACAACCTGCTCTAAAATAACATTGACATTCGTGTTGAGACAATCAGTAGTGATTTAGGGTCAGAGTTTAGTGATCATGACCACAGACTGTTTTAAGGATTTACTAACATTTCAAAGTCAGTGTTTGGAAATTCTTAATGAGTAATCCACTGATAAAAGTACATTTGCATGAAATAGTAGTTTATACTATGTGTGTAGAACTTGGCTTTGTCCCATGTGTGGGTTTTTAATAGGCTGAAAAAAGCTTACTTGATTAAAAAAAATTGTGTTACCAAATAACTATTTTGAATATTTGCCCTTGTTAATTGATGTTGTGGGTGAAGTTTAGACAAAATCTCAAATACCACCTATAACTCAAAGTTTTTGAAAATGCTGTAACACAATGTGGATTCTTTGGGGTTATCGTGATCTAATTCTGTACGGCGGCTTCTTTCTGTTCTTTTGTCAGGTTCTCCAAAGTACTTACCATTCAGGTTGAATAAACCAGTTCTACAGACTGCTTCTTCTGTGCATTTCCCAATGGTGCTAACTGCCCTTAAAATTATTTCAGATTTGGAACTCTATCTGTATGGAAACAACAGGTAAGTATTTCTTTAAATTGTCATAAATTCTTATGTAAGAATTCTCATAAAAAAATAAATATGCCTAGAGAAACTAAAAGAAACATGCTATGATGTTAATAGGAGTTATTTTTGGATGATGAGATTAAGGATAACTTTTTCCTTAATGTCCTATTTTAAATAATAAGTGTATATTGCTTTTGTAATAAAGAAGCCTTGTTTTGAAAAAGGCAGTTGTAGACACAATAATGTCCACACGTAGGAAATGAGATCTCAGGTAAATGTGCAGGTGACAGAAGGCGGAGCAGAGACTCAGACACATCTACTGATTGCAGAAACAGATTGTAACCTGATAGCCTGGCCCACCTGGCCCATGATGTGCCAGTTTCTTTGCAGATCAGAAATATAACCCTAAACATGGTGATGAGTCTTTGGTTCCAGGTTATCTCTAACCCCTTATGGGGACGTCAACACCTTCCCCAAACAGCTCAGTTGAATAATTTTGGTTTCGAATTGAGAAACAAGTTTAGTCTAGGCCTATTTGTTCTAAGTAATATGTCTACTATTCAGTGAGTAACAGGATAAAGAAAAAGTCTGTATATACCTGAAGGTAATCAAACTTGTTAATTGTTCAATCTTGACTTTTAAGGGTACTGAAAGAGTTGACATTAGAGGAATCAGAGAAGTTTTGCACCAGAATGTCTTGGAAAAGGCAAGTTCTCATGATTAATAGAGGCGATTATATTAAGTTTAGAAAACTGGCAGAAATTTTTGTTCCAGTGATGTTTACTTAAAGCTGATTTAGTAAACAAACTTTAAAAAGTCTCTTAAAAATATATGGTATCTATACACACTCACATAAATATACTCATATTCAAAGACAAACCTGTGACAAGTTTCATGATATTTATTTCCTCATCCATTAATCCACTCATTCATTAATTTAGTGAATAATTTTTGAGTATCTTTTATGTGAGAAGCAAAACCTTAGGCGTTAAGGAGTATACCAGAGAACAAACACAAAAATCTCTACAATCTTGGAGCTTATGTTTATGGCACTACAGAGATTTAAAAACAAATAAACAAGTAAAACATATAGTTTGTCAGATAGTGTTAAGTGTTATGAAGAAAAATAAATCCAGGAAGGGCGGTAGGACATGCCAAGTGAGAGGTGGGTGAGAGCTGAGAGGTGCGTTGTTTTAAATAGGGCAGGAAAGGCCTTACAGGTAAGGTAACTTTGTTGAAAGATATAAAAGAGTTAGTTCCAGATGACTTTAATAATCTGCTTTCACAAATCATTTGAGCAGCAGAATTGGGAGAACATTTGATCCAGCGTTTCTGCTGTTTTTATTGAACACTTGAAATAACCCTTTATTTTATGTTCTAAGAATGGTACCTTCAGCACAGGAATCTGGTTCTTTCACAGAATGAATAGAGGGCAAACATTTTCCCCACAGAGTTATGTGCCTGGTGAACAGACTCATTCCAATGTCACTCCAGTGGTCTCACTGAACTAATACAACCATCATACGGACATTAGGTATTTTTTCCTATTCATTCACATGTTTGTTTTCTGAAGTTGACTATGAGCCTGTTGAAGGTAAGAATGGGACAATGATTTGTTCATCTTGGCAGCCTCAATGCCTAACCAAGTGCCTGGCATAGGCCAGGTGCTCAGTGATTGCCAGTTGAATAAATAAAGTTCGAGAGTAAAATAGACATTGACTTTCAACAGCTCATGAGATGAATCCTCAATGGCTGCATTTACCTACTAAAATATCTAAAGTGGATAAATGTCTTACATCATGACAGCCTCCGTCCTGCTCCAAGTCCTGTGGGGACCTGGCATCAAGGACCTGCTCTGTAAAATCAAGTGATAATGTCTACCCAGCAGTGATGCTTTTGAGTGTCAGCAACTAGAAGAGGCTATTGCCAATCATGTTTTCCTCACAACAGTGCTGGCAAATGGGATAGCTGTCATCCCCACATATTCTTTCTACCTCTGTAACAGATAATCTGCCTTACATCTTCTTTCTGAGATGATGTGGAGGAGTGATACCCTTTACACTAGATTAGCAGGCAAAACTATGATGGTTTGTGATATCCATGCTTGTAGAAGTAGTAAGAAGAAAGGGAACACAGACGCTTTATTTTATAGTGGAGTCCTGATTCTAGGCCTTAATAATTGTATGGTTTTGGGTAAATTGCTAAATCACTGTGAATCCCATCAACTCATCTGTTAACTGGAAATAATAATTACTACCTCACAGCATTGTTGTGAAGGTCAAGTTCGACAATATATGCAAAACATTTGGAATGGTGCATAGTACATAATGTGGGTGTTCAATAAATTAACAGTAGTATTTTTACCACTGCAAAGAATAATCTTACTCTCAGGCAAGTAGAATTTTTTATAGTTGTTGAATATTTATGAATCACTGAGGATAATGTTTATAAATATATTTGCATCTAAAATTTTTTTCCTTACATACTATTTTATTAATACCAAACTAAGTAACATTTATAATATTCTCGAATATCTTATCACTTAAGAATATGAGGAAAGGTGGCTGGGCACAGTGGCTCACACCTGTAGTCCTAGCGCTTTGAAAAGTTGAGGTAGGTAGATCACTTGAGGTCAGGAGTTCAAGACCAGCCTGGGAAACATGGCAAAACCCCATTTCTACAAAAAAAAAAAAAAAAAAAAAAAGCCAGGAGTGGTGATGTGTGCCTGTAGTCCCAGCTACTGGGGGGTCAGAAGTGGGAGAATTGCTTGAACCTGGGAGGTCGAGGCTGCAGTGAACCGAGATCACACTACTGCACTCCTACACTCCAGCCTGGGTGACAAAGTGAGACTTTGTCTCAAAACAAAACAAAAAAAAGGTATGAGGAAAGTATAAAACATTGCATTAAAAAATTTCAGCTGTGAAGTGGAATGGTATATAACAGGGAACATTTCCATGGTCTCCAAGCACCATCCATCCCCAGGAACAGCTTAGCAGGTATTTTTGGCATCATAAAGGTTGATGTAATCTCAGTCACTGATACTTTTCTTGTAGAAAGATACTGTCTATGGAAGTCATTATCTTTTCAGGTTGGCAAGTGATGCTCTAATGGGGTCTGAACTCTAGTCTAATAACTTTCTCTTGTTTTTTTAATTTTTAAATTTTTTTTAGAGTTTTCTTGAAGCACAACTAAGGACAGGTCACCACTAGGCACTAACGTCACTGACTTGCATGATTATGGAGATGGTCTATCTGATGCTGAAAATGTCTCTGGTTTTTTGACAACGGCTAAATAACCATGGGATCAAGTGGCCTTGGGAAAGCAGCAACATTAGATGAACTGCTGCACACTTGCATTGAGATGTTTGGTACGAGCCTTTTCTCCTTTCATATCTTTTGGATCTCTCGATGCTCTCACTTTCCTCTATTCAGAGGCAAGTTGCTTGTGGAACAGAGTTCAGTCTCTGTACCTTGGTATTTAAGGCCTTTTGGATGGACCCCAGTCTGTCTCTCCAGCTTCACTGCCCTCCACATTTCTTTCCCTTTACTGCCCACAGCTCATACCCCAGTCAAACTGTCCACTTAATGTTTCTGGAACATTCCCTGTACCTTTCTACCACCATCCACTGGTCATATTCCCTTCATTGAAATTCTGCTTCAGGGCCTTCTCAGATGTTCACAGTACCATTCCTAGTCTCCTTGGTCAGGAACGCTGCTTGCCTTTTCCCCCATCTCACATCCCATTGTAATTCCTTATAGCACATAGCAAATGCCTCTATAATTGTTTCTTGGTCTTTTGACTCAGATGAATGTGAGTAGCACAATTTACTGCATTCTACATTCAAACACGTCATATCTGCTACTAGATTATACACTTTACAGCTGTATGCTCCTGGTGTTGTTGTTTTCGTATCCACCACAGCATATTGAGTTATCCCTTGCACAAAGAAAGTCAGCCCACATGGGAGTAGTTATTTATTAAATCGATTACTATAGAAACCAGAGTTAAACCAGAGCAGAGTTGCCAGATAAAATACAGGATGACCAGTTACATTTGAATTCTGACAAACATTTTTAGTGTAAGTATGACCTAAATAATGCCAGGGACATATTTACAATAAAGAAATTCATCATTATTTCTCTTAAATTCAAATTTAACTAATTGTCCTGAATTTTATTTATGAAATCTGTCAATGTAGACCAGAGGAAGGGTAAGACCCACCCACCTTTACTTGCAAGGAAATACTAGCCAAAGTAGGAGGTAAAAGATCACTGGTTGGCCAGGCGTGGTGGCTCACGCCTGTAATCCCAGCACTTTGGGAGGCTGAGGTGGGAGGATCACAAGGTCAGGAATTCAAGACCAGCCTGACCAATATGGTGAAGCTCCGTGTCTACTAAAAATAGAAAAATTAGCTGGGTGTGGTGGCGGGCACCTGTAGTCCCAGCTACTTGGGAGGCTGAGGCAGGAAAATCACTTGAACCCGGGAGACAGAGGTTGCGGTGAGCCGAGACTGTGCCACTGCACTCCAGCCTGGGTGACAGAGTGAGACTCCGTCTCCAAAAAAAAAAAAAAATTCATTTGTCTATGAAAAATTTTTGACACTATGATACTATTGCTTCTCTATTGATGTTAGAAAAAGTAAAGAGTAGCACTGTTATCTCCTCACTTCTTGTTCTATTTTTTTAACAGATGACAATGGAGAGCTGAATAATAGTTACTTGCCAAGAATAGTTCTACTGATGCACCGATGGTATTTATCTTCCACTGAGTTGGCAGAAAAACTTCTCTGCATATATCTTTTCAACTACTGTGTAATTTTTACAACCATAAATCAAGCTCTGTATTTAGATAGAGTGTCTATCCAAAGCTAGTAAATTAAGATGAATAAATAGTCTTCGGTTATCCAGCTGTTTTGCGAATATATGTAGATGTCTAGACGAAACACATCTGGATGATAGACCAGATAGTTGACTCTCCATCTGGATGTTTTGGCTGTACTTGAAAATAATCACTAAGATGTAAAATGAAGCAGGAACTGTGGGCTGGATGTTTCTAACTTGTCTTAAACATTTCTATTATTAGAGCAATGAGAGAATATTTAACAATGATTCAAGATCAGATTTGTTTCTTCTGGGATGGCAAAATGGTGGGCATAGAGGATGCAGCTTAATCATATGGAAATACAGCCAAAATAATATGCTCTCACTTGGGCACAAACATCCATTTAGTTTTCACATCTTCCCTTGCTGCCAAGACACAATGAACATTCTAGCAGGCTTATTATAATTTGTTGACTGATACTAATGTTAGATTTTCTTCTGAAATGAAAACAAAAAAATCCCACATGGTTAGAAACATCATTCCATAATGAAGGCTTTTAGCAGTCTACCACTTCTCTACATCATGCAGTCCAGAAAAGTGGTTGAAAGCCAAATGACTGAAGATGCAGTCTCCCATTCGTAAAAGGTTCTATTCCCTGAGAGCCAATGCTTATTATACAATCTCTAATGTCAGTGCCTGCAGTCTCTGCCTTCTTCAAGCCCATGAGGCCCTGGAGATGAGTGAGAACCGCTACAGGGAGGGGGAGCCTTAGGGGGAGAGGCACCACCTTAGAGGGAGAGGCACCATCAAGTCTTGTTAGGGCCTGCCAAGGCTTCTGGAGCCAGTAGGGTGTCCACCTGTTCAGTTCAAGCTTCCTCCACTTTCTACTTCTCTTCATCCTCCTCACAACCTCAGAGCAGAAAAGGATATTAGAGAGTCTATAAAGTCCATGGAAGTGAGCAAGATCCTAACTCCTGGTAGTCCAACGGTCATATGCGTCCACTGTTGAAGTGTAGAACACAGGTAAGGATGGAGGGCATTGGCTCAGTCTGGTCATACTCATGGCAATCTAGACATTATCCAGAGAATGTAGCCACCAACAGTGTTCTCACCCTCAGCATGGTCACCAGTGCATGAGACACAAATAAAAAGGGATATTTAGGCATAGTAACATTTAATGTGGGAAAGTTGAAGACCGCCTGTGAATCAACATTTCTATAAATTTTCCTCCCTTTGGATTCCTTGCTCACGCTATATCCACAGTGCCTGGCATATACACAAGCTCAATAAATATTTGTTTAAAAGAGTATGAATAAATACACTTACAAGTAAATAACACAACCTGAGTATTAAGGTACCTGAAAATGACATTTTCAAATATTAAAGAAGAAATTAGAGTACCTATACAGTTACGCATAGCGTAACGACGGGGAAATCATCATTTGATGATTTCATGATTTTGCAAATGTCATAGAGTGTGCTTATATAAACCTAGATGCTATAGCCTACTACACATCTAGGCTATATTACACAGCCTGTTGATCCTGGACTACAAACCTGTACTGCATGTGGCTATACTGAATTCTATAGGCAATTGTAATACAATAGTGGGTATTTGTGTATCTAAACATAGAAAAGGTATAGTAAAAATACGGTATAAAAGATAAAAAGTGGTACACCTGTATAGGGTGCTTATCACAAATGGAGCTTGCAAGACTGGAATCCGCTCTGGGTGAGTCAGTGAGTGAGTGGAGAGTGAATGTGAAGGCCTAGGACATTAATGTACAATATTGTAGACTTTATAGACACTATACACTTAGGCTACACCAAATTATAAAAATATTTTTCTTTCTTCAATAATAAATTAACTTTAACTTACTGTAACTTTTATACTTTATAAACCTTTAAAAACTTTTTAATCCTTTTGTAATAGTACTTACCTTAAAACACAAATATATTGTACTGCTGTAAAAAATATTTTCTTTCTCAATATCTTTATTCTACAAACTTATTCTATTAAATTTTTTTTTTTTTTTTACTTTTTAAACTTTTTAATTAAAAGCAAAGACACAAACACACGCATTAGCCTAAGTTTAGGTTTACACAGGCTCAGAATCATCAATATCACTGTCTTCCACCTCCACCTCTTATTCTACTGGAATGTCTCAGGGGTATTAACAGGCATGGAGCTGTCATCTCCTATGATAACAATCCCTCCTTCCGGAATAACTCCTGAAGAACCTGCTGAGGCTGTGTTACAGTTAACTTTTTAATTTTTTTTACATAAGTAAAAGGAGTACTCTAAAATTACAACAAAAAATAGTATAGTAAGTCCATAAACCAATAACAGTCATTTATTCTCATTATCAAGTATCATATACTGTACATGACTGTATATACTAGACTTTTACATGACTCACACAACAGCAGATTTGTTTACACCATCATCACCACAAACACATGAGTAATGCATTGGTTACAACATTATGCTGGCTACCATGTCACTAGGTAACAGGAATTTTTCAATCCCACTCTTATCTTATTGGACCACTGTCATATATGCAGCCCTTCATTGACTGAAACATCGTTATGTGGTGCATAACTGTATAAGGCATTAATCCTAAATGCAAAATCTTTTTGGTTAAAATAGTATTTCTCGGCCAGGTGCGGTGGCTCACGCCTGTAATCCCAGCACTTTGGGAGGCCGAGGCAGGCGGATCACAAGGTCAGGAGATCGAGACCATCCTGGCTAACATGGTGCAACCCCATCTCTACTAAAACTACAAAAAATTAGCCGGGTGTGGTGGCGTACGCCTGTAGTCCCAGCTGCTCGGGAAGCTGAGGCAGGAGAATGGCGTGAACCCGGGAGGCAGAGTTTACAGTGAGCCAAGATTGCACCACTGCACTCCAGCCTGGGTGACAGAGCCAGACTCTGTCTCAAAAAATAATAATAATAAAAATAAAAATAGATAGTATTTCTCTGTACTATCAATTTTAATTATGTATAGTTGCCAGTCTATTTGTAATTACAATTGGCAGTTATTAGTTAAGTGTGGAGGAAGGCAAAACTAATCCTGTAACTGGCTTCTCCTTCAGACCAAAAAAATATATTCCAGAGCTATAATAAATCAAGTTTCAATTGTTCAGTGTCGAAGTCATCAGAGGCCACTTCTCTCTGTATTTGAGTGTCTTTATAACCCCAAATGTCCCCAGCATGGTCCTCTTACTAGGAATTGATATACATTGAGGGCACAGCTGCAGGTGTGTGTAAAGGAAAAGAGGTGCACGAATTTTTTCTTTAACTGGTTTACGTATCGAAATGCCACTGGAGAAAGCTGCAATGAATTTCGATTAAAGATCTGCTACTTCATGAGGTAAATACATTTACAAATTTAATTTCTTGTAGCTTCTAGTTCTGGCACGGTTGTAGTTTCTAGTTCTGCAATTGTTGACAATTTCGTTTTCCCCAAGCTGCAGACCTAGTTTGACAACAGAGTCTACTCTGATACCCCTCCCACCAACTTTGTTAAAATTGGCCCTCCTCTGTTGGGTGGGGTGGGGGAAACTTTATCTTTTGCACTAGAGATTAAGTAGTAGTAAATGTGATTAAGGAATGAAACTAGCTCTTAGAAAGGGTGGATTTATTTTCTTCTACTCCCTCGCCACACCCATTCCCACCTACTCACCATGACTTGAAGGAAGGGTTTCCTCTCAACTGAAAGAGAGGCTATGAATGGGAGTGGTTTGAGATAGAAGGAGGGCAGAGAGAGGCTCCACGTGATGGATGGGGGTTTGGAGATAGGAGATGGCTAATTTGAAGTATGGTCCTGGATTCAGTGTTAAATGTAGTCTGTAAAATGGTACAATCATTTCCATAGATATCCAACTTGAAATATTCCAGCTGCCAAAAATATTTGATGCCTTTCAGGTACTGGATTCTGAAATTTCCTGCAGAATTTAATTTGGATCTTGGTTTGATTCGTATGACTGAGGAATTCCGGGAAGTAGCTAGTCAACTAGGATATGAAAAACACGTCAGCCTCATCGACATATCCAGCATGTAAGAGTGGCACCAACGTCTTTCACACTCGATGAGTCCACTGCTTAGGGGAGGAAGTAGTGATCACCCCACTTGTCCTGAGTCCATCCCACTCCTGAATCTAGGTTTGCTTCTGTGAGAAAAGCCTTGCTGCAGTGAGTACAAGCCGTGTTGGACACAACTCATCTCTCCAAGCTGCAGTTTCTTTACTTGTAAAATGTGGACAGTACCTTTCTCGTGGGATTATTATGAACATCCAATAAGGACATAAGATAGTGCATGAAAGCATTTGGCACACAATAGACGCTCGGTATGAGTTACTGAGTCTGAATCTAGTTAACATCTCTTATGCCTTCACTACTCAAAGTGTGCTGTGCAGACCAGCAACATTAGCATCACCTGGGAGCTTATTAGGAATGCAGCCTCTAGGCTCCACCTTAAACCTGAATTGGAATCCACACTTTAAAGATCCCCAAGTGATTCACGTGCAAGCTTGAGAAGCTCTGTACCATGGTGCTGCTGAGGTTGGCCTCAGAACAACAACCTTATGGTGGTTGACCATAGATGTCAGGAGCTGGTTAGCTCAGTTATTAGGTAACTGGTGCAATTAGGCCACTTTCATATCAACTAGGTAACTTTGCACAGGGAAGACTATTTGATGATCCTAAATATGGTTATCCATCTTGCAAATGTATGTTCTTGTGTGTTAGGTATCTCTGTTTTCCATTGTTGATTACTATTGAATACTTCTTCAATAGTAATCAATAGTGAATGATCCGGGAATTATAAGGGATGTTTGGTGAAAAAACATATTATTCAAGATCATTCCTAATAAATCAGAACCTCTGGCAGTAAGGCCCAGGTGTCTGTCTTTATAACAAGCTTTTCAGATAATTCATGTTATACTAAAGTATGAGAACCACAGCTTCTAGTGGTTTCCATGTGCCTTAAATCACCATCTATATCCTGATAAACTCCCAAATTTATATACTAGCCCTGACCTTTCCTTTATGATCCAGACCTTGCTGGTCACAAAGAGACTAAGTAAGAGATTCTGGATGGATCAGTGCAAAACCTACTCTGTCTGGAAAAACAACTCCAAGTTTATGTTCTATTGGCAATTGGTCAGTGGTTTTCTCTTCAAATATGAAAGACAGGGCATGTATTTTGCACAAGCCCCTGGAAGCAAGCCAAGAGTTACAGAGTCAGTAGGTTAATAACTTCCATTGAGTGAAATGGGCTTTCAACACATTGACCGGACTCACTCTTCTTTTATAGTCCTTCCTATGACTGGATGAGAAGAGTCACACAGAGGAAAAAAGTATCCAAGAAGGGAAAAGCCTGTCTGCTGTTTGACCATCTGGAGCCCATTGAATTGGCTGAGCACCTCACTTTTCTGGAACATAAATCTTTTAGAAGGATCTCAGTAAGAAACTTGACATTTATTCTTCCAAGGATAACAACCACGATGCCAACTTTCCCAAGAGCTGCATTTTCATACTCTGAAGTGTTGGCAGCTTCTATCACTGTGCTCTGCTGGAAAAGTGCCCTTAATTCACAGGAACAATCCCTTTTAACCAAAGATAAATATTATCCTGTCTTTATTTTATGGCTCAGGAGCTATATTTCTGTCGCTATTTTCAATGTCTCCTTTCATAGGATTAAAGCGTGATTTTTCTAAATAGTCAGTGGAGATTTAACCATTCAAGGTTGATTTAGCTCCATTGACTTCTCCCAAGTGAACATGTTTTGCTAGGCCCTTCGTTTTTGGGAAAAAATATTTAGTTAGGTTCGGATTTGTATAAATGGCTAATTATGGGTGTAGGTTGAAAACAGGAATTGTAGACTTTAAGGAGAATCTCAACATCAGGTTGTTTCTTTCCCAGAGATAGAGATCCTGAATTAAACTTTTCTTTCCTACTCATCTTGATGGAGCCTCATTCCTTCTCTAACTCCCCCTTTTCTTTCTCTGGTCTGTGATTTCTTAGCCTCCTGCTCTCTATCCTCCTGTTATGATAACATTTTCCACATTGGTTCACAATCAGCCAACCACTTTGCTTTGTCTCGCCAAGCTCTGGGGAAGTTGCGCCTCCTCCTTCTCCTTTTCCAAGGTGTCGGAGAATGAATTACATTATTGCTTGCAAAGACGACTGTCTTGGTTAGAAGCATGAATTTCTGAAAGACTGATTCTTTCACTAAGTAATCGTACTTGGAGAGTACCTTAACGATTCCCCGCAGGCAGGCCATGGGAGGGAGTCCCCTGCACTGTTTATATGATAGAAAGCTCATATGTATTTTTTGACCTCCATGCTAACATTCTGAAAATGTGTTTGTCTTGCTAAAGAGCAGCCTTACTTCAATTGATTTTTTTTTCCTCTGTCTTCTTTTTTCTTGAAACAACTTTACAACTGATGCTAATTTGAAATCATTATATTTGTGTTCATTTCCTCCTCTTCATTGTATACCATTGTATCTTTAACTTGCCTGATTGGAATCACCAACAGTGTGTTAAAAATGGAGATTCTTGGCCCAGCGCGCCTTTAATCCCAGCACTTTGGGAGGCCAAGGTGGGCGGATCATGAGGTCAAGAGATCGAGACCATCCTGGCCAACATGGCAAAACCCCATCTCTACTAAAAATACAAAAAAATCTAGCCAGGCCTGGCGGCTTGCACCTGTAGTACCAGTTACTCAGGAGGCTGAGGCAGGAGAATCGCTTGAACCCGGGAGGCGGAGATTGCAGTCAGCCAAGATCGCGCCACTGTACTCCAGCCTGGCAACAGAGCGAGACTCGGTCTAAAAAAAAAAAAAAAAAAGGAGATTCTTTGGTTTTTCTTCTGAAGATAGTGATTGTTTACACCTAGGGTGTTCCCAGGAACCAGCATTTTACCAAGTGCCACAGGTGGATCTTATGACCCAGTAAATTTTGAACTCATTGGAATACCACTTTGAATCTTGCCTCTTTCTCCTCCCACCAAAGCTGTGATGTGTAGTAGTGGGTGTCTGTGCATGGGGTGAGTAGTGGGGTTTGAAAAACAGCAAAGTAATATTTTAAAGACACATGTATATTCAGACTTTTAGGATGCCATTGTAAATGTGAAATAAAAGAAATTATTCTGTTGTTATGAAACAATATCTTACCTCTTCTATATAATATTCTAATTTCTGATTTTACATTATAATTCAGAATCTCTGAATCTTCCTTTCCTAGTTCACTGATTACCAAAGCTATGTCATCCATGGCTGCCTGGAGAATAATCCAACTTTGGAAAGATCGATAGCTTTATTTAATGGAATCTCTAAGTGGGTCCAGTTGATGGTTCTTAGCAAACCAACCCCCCAGCAAAGGGCAGAAGTCATCACAAAGTTTATCAATGTTGCAAAGGTATGTCTGGTAATCAGACTGGGTTCTTGAGTTCTAGATGTTCATTCACTCTGTTGAGAAAAGTCCTTGAAGAAATGTGGTGTTCACAGTATAAGAGCACTGGACAACTAAACTACTTGCTGATGTCTAATGAACAAATCGTATTTTTGCCATGCAAGAAGATTGCTTTCAAAAAGCAATGCTTAGAAGCATTTAACGTAGCTATTTTTCTGTGAAGTAATAGATATATTTCTCTGATTCTATTTGTGCTTCATTTTAAATTGATGTAATTTTTTCATTAGCTTCTTGTTATTAAAATTGTGCATAAATGTACTTGTAATTCAGAAAGTTTAGACTAATTTAAAAATCCTTAAAATCATTGATGCATTTTTATTGCAGAAGCTCCTTCAGCTCAAAAATTTTAACACCCTGATGGCAGTGGTGGGAGGCCTCAGTCATAGTTCCATTTCACGCCTCAAAGAGACGCATTCTCATCTTTCTTCAGAAGTTACAAAGGTACAGTAGATTTGATCCTAGTTAAAAGTAAAAAAATGCATTTGTAAATTGTTCAGATTTAGTATACGCCTAACAAATGTCACTCAGAGGGGGAAAGTTTTCCTCTTAAACCAGTGGTAGTTTATACATGGGGACAAAGTAGAAAGGAAATAACCACACCAGCTGAGTTCACCTGGAAAAACAGGTTGGAGGTGGTGGTAAGTGTCTCAGGAAGAATGCTTTGAATATCATTAACATATTGTAGTGGTGGCCAGGCGTGGTGGCTCACTCCTGTAATCCCAGCACTTTGGGAGGCCGAGGTGGGTGGATCACAAGGTCAGGAGATCGAGACCATCCTGGCTAACATAGTGAAACCCCATCTCTACTAAAAATACAAAAAAATTAGCTGGGCGAGGTGGCGGGCACCTGTAGTCCCAGCTCCTCGGGAGGCTGAGGCAGGAGAAAGGCGTGAACCTGCGGGGCGGAGCTTGCAGTGAGCTGAGATCACACCACTGCACTCCAGCCTGGGCAACAGAGGGAGACTCTGTCTCAAAAAGAACAAAAAAAAACCAAAAAAAAAAACCCAACGTATTCAACAGGTATCTGTTTGGTCCTACTATGTGATAGGCACTGTGATACACAAAGTAAATAAGACAGAAATAGTTCCTACCCTACCTCCTGAAATAAAGTCATTGAATGACTATTCATAACACTGTGTTGGGCACATCAAAAGATAGAAAGGGAAAGACATAGGCCTTGTATACAAATCCTCAGATTTAGAACTGAATTGTCATGAAAAAAAAATATGTATATATATATAAAAAAAGTGATCATTTTCCAAACTGATCTTTCTGCCATATTTATTTTTATGACATGATAGTTCTCTTTTTCTTCTTGAGCAAAAAGGAGCATTTCATCCTTATGAAAAGATTGTCACGTAAGAGTGCACTTTGTTATTTCAATATGGACACTTTTAGCTGTGAGTTTAAAAGAAAAAGAAAAAAACTTCTACAGCAATTAAACAATCAGGAAATGTATTGTCCATCAGGCGTGGTGGCTCACACCTGCAATCTCAGTACTTTGGGAGGTGGAGGTGGGAGGATTGCTTGAGGCCAGGAGTTTGACATCAGCCTGGGTAACATAACTAGATCCTGTCTCTACCAAAAAAAAAAAAATTAGCCAGGTGTGGCAGTGTGTGCCTGTAGTCCCAGCTATCTGGGAGGCTGAGGTGGAATGATCGTTTGAGCCCAGGAGTTTGAGGCTGCAGTGAGCCAGGATCATACCACTGCACTCTACCCTGGGGGACATACCTGGAAGTCCAAAGACAGAGCAGGCATGGTCTGATCAGACCTCTGACTCAGGGTCTCTGCCTGCCTCTGAGTATTAGAGAGTTTTGTTTTTTTGTTTGTTTCATCAAACTGGTTTTTCTCCTAATTGGGCTGTCTGTAGCAACCGAAAAATTATGTTCCCTTGTTCATGAGAGCTGAAGATAGGGAAGACTTCTCACTTCAACTCTTCACGCATAGAATTAAAGATCTTTTGAGCCAACTCAGGTCTTAAGCCCATCCCTGGACCAATAACAGTTGCCAGAGGAATACGACGTACTGATTGGCTTAACCCTGAGTTCCTGAACTGGTCACAAACTAGAGGGATGCAATTACTCTGATGATAAATCAGAACCCATTCTTGGTCCTGGAAATGGAAACAGCTCTGTCTGAGTCACAAGGGCTGCTTTGGGAGAGAGTAGACTAATTAAAATCGGAGTCTACTAGAAAGACCATGCCTGGTTACTGTGAAGCAACCAACAATAACTTGTCCACATAAACAAGAGGAAGTAGTAAACGACAGAAGCACTGTTGTTTGACCTCAAACTCTGTACTCATTCCAAGTATAATGGAACGTATTAGGTAATAAGTATTTCATTTTCTTTTAGCTTTGTACCAAATCTCAAGTAAAAAGCAAAAACAAATTTTAAATGTTGTGAAGAATAAGAATCTGATAGAAGCTTATAGAGGCTTGGAGAACTACCAGTGTATCTTTTAAAATTATTTATTGGAACTTCTCTTACTCATAGAGAAAGAAACCGAGGCCCAAAGAAGTGAAGTGACTTGTTCAAGGTCACCCTTCTAGTTAGGCAGAATATAGAACCACAGCTATCTCATAACGCATTGCAACTTTCCCTACCCCACAGTGTCCCAGATTAACCTCAAGTAATATCTGGAATGCAAATTTCTTGGAACAACTAAAAAATTTTAATATTCGACATGCTTGAATTTGTGGACAGTAATATTTTCATAAATTCCCAAACACTTAAGAATACATGATGCCATTTAATATCCCAACATCTCTAGTAGGTAGGCAGACGTGTAGGCTATTTCCGTTTTATAGCAAAATGGAACTGGCTGCTCAATGCGTAGCCAGGCCTAGTACGTTTTCTAACTTTCTTTTTCCTGATTAATATTTCCCTGTAGCAACATTGGTGCAAGTGATACTTTTCTCAGTAGCTGAGGAATTTCCTAGCCACACATTGCAGGGCCTGGGGGTGTGCAGAAGGGAAAAAGCTGTTTGAAAATTCTACTTTTCCATCTGTTCCCAGAACTGGAATGAAATGACAGAGTTGGTCTCCTCCAACGGTAATTACTGCAATTACCGCAAGGCCTTTGCCGACTGTGATGGCTTCAAAATCCCCATCCTTGGAGTACACTTGAAAGACTTGATAGCAGTCCATGTCATTTTCCCAGACTGGACGGAGGAGAACAAAGTGAACATTGTGAAAATGCACCAGCTCTCCGTTACCCTGAGTGAACTAGTCTCCCTGCAGAATGCCTCTCACCACCTAGAACCCAACATGGATTTGATCAACCTGCTCACGGTGAGTTCCAAGGAGCCAAGTTTGGGCTCTGTAACTCTTCTGCACCTTTCTTTCCAGGAGACATAGGAAGATGTGTGCCAGCAATTCATTCTGGAGGAAAATTGGTTTCAGAGTCAATAGATGAGAGGAAATTTCATAGGACAAGGGAAAAGGAACCCTGATTAGTATTTTCCATAACCAGCAAATCTTGGGACAAAGAAATCTACCTTTGTTCAGAGGGGCCCAATCTCTGCCGTATGACTCCACTTCTGGCGTTCTTAGAGAAGCTCCTCCAGACTATGTCTCAGCCCTCGCTCTCCTTCACCACATTCGTCCAACTCATCACATCCTTCTATATGTCCTCCGGTCATCCGCTCCTCTTTATCCTCACTGCACTGCTTTAGCTGAAGCCTGGAGTAATGCAAGGACCTTCTCTGTGATCCCCCTCTTCCCATTGCGAACCTCCCAAACCTCCAGGATGTAGTTTACAGACTGGCATTCAAGGTTCTTGAAGACTCAGTCTCCAACCGTCAGCCCAGCCTTCTTTGCCATCACCCTCTCCCACATTTTACCAGCCTTTGAGAAATACTGAACTTCTTGTACTTTGCACTCCATGAAATGCTGCCTTCTGCTTTCTGGCCTTTGCACTTTCTTGGAGAATCCTATCCCTACCCATCCATATGGCGAGTTCAAATTCAAAAGCCTGTCTTTCTGGAGCATTCTCTCTCTCCCTCCAAAGCAGTCATGCATCTGTCACATGTCACCCTGGCACTTTCTATTTTCCTTAACTATAGGAGGAGTCACTCTGAATTCAATTTTTTTCTGTTTACCTGCCTTACATATCATATCCCTCGCACTTCTCACAGTTCCTGGCATATTTAGGAACTCAATAAATGAACTGCATGCTGTATTTAGGAGTGATGTGGCTTAGGAAAAGAAGTTCACTTACCACTCATACTTTTTGGCATTTGTGGCACACATGTTTAGCTGGTCTCCGCATCCTAGAACTTCTAGACACAACAGGTGTATAGAAGAGAACATTTCCCACTAGCTGCTGCTTTGTGGGAAGAAGAGGCATAACAAAATTCACTCGCCCTTCCTTAAACAAAAGTAAAGGTACAACTTCCCTGTTTGGGTTTATAACACTGTAGCATCTGAAACTCAGCTGCAATACTGAATTAACTGTTTTCCTTGTATGGCTGTGGAAAATGAAACCAATAACTCCTCTTAATTTCTGAGAGCCTAAATCCCCTAGGTCTGCTGCATTGGCATAGGAGTGTGGTTTCTCGCCCTTCTCACAAACTGTTCCTAGAGCATGTAATTGTTTACCAAAGAATAAACCCCTAAGCGTAGGCAATAATGCTAGCTATGCCCTTCAAATAAAGCAGAAGTGGCCAACACACAGAAACACAGCTCTCTTAAAGATGAGTTTTTGTGACAAATAGTAAATATGCAGACTTTCTCTACTGGGGGCAGGGAACACAACTCACAATAATTCAAGCACCTGCATTTATTTATTTATTTATTTATTTATTTATTTATTTATTTTGACTATACTTTAAGTTCTAGGGTACATGTGCACAACGTGCAGGTTTGTTACATATGTATACATGTGCCATGTTGGTGTGCTGCACCCATTAACTTGTCATTTACATTAGGTATATCTCCTAATGCTGTCTTTCCTCCCTCCCCACTCCCCACAATAGGCCCCAGTGTGTGATGTTCCCCTTCCTGTGTCCAAGTGATCTCATTATTCAATTCCCACCTATGAGTGAGAACATGTAGTGTTTGGTTTTCTGTTCTTGCGATAGTTTGCTGAGAATGATGGTTTCCAGCTTCATCCATGTCCCTACAAAGGACAGAACTCATCCTTTTTTATGGCTGCATAGTATTCCATGGTGTATATGAAGCACCTGCATTTATTAATGATTTGCCATGTAAATATGTTTCCATGAATGAGTGACCAGAGTTGCAGCCCCAATCAGACTGCAGACCCACAGCCGCAGGTGATGTCTGCAGACCCGTCTCCGTGTGGAGCCTAGGCTTCCAGTGTCTGTGTTCAAGTTGTCCATGATGTCAAGCATAACTTCAGAGAGCAGGTGCCTACCCTTGGGCAATTTCTCATAGAGACAAAAGATAATAATGGGGTAGAGAAATTAATTTGAGTTATAAATGAAACAAGCAACATTACGACAAAGAGATATTTAGAGAAATATCGAAGGATTTTCAATAAAATTTCAGGAGTACAAATTCAGGAGAAAAAAATCTGAACTCTAGAAATAAAGGCTAAGAAAAAAATTCCTTTTTGCTGGGGAGGAATCTTTCTCTCTCTCTCTCATATTGAAGGAAAACTTAGAAGCCATCAAGCGCCGTATTTAGTAAATGCAGTGTTGGGCAGCATAGTGTAGTGGCAGAATCCTAGGTGGGAGACCTTGCTTTCAGCCTTCCCTCTGCAGTTGCTTGGCTTTTTCTCCTTGCTAAGAGCCTTGTCTTTGGCTTTTTTAAAATAGGTGTTTTATGCTCATTTGTGAGGTCTTTTCCAGCTCTAAACTTCTAGGATTCTAGATGTAAGAACCGGTGGAGTCTTGAGAATAAGGAACCAAGAGTCAACTTGATTCTGTAGTACCAGCCCGATAGCTCATCACGATAGCACAATCCTGTGTATGAGTCACCAAACTTCAAGCCGAGATCCTTTCTCTCCCCACACAGCCAAGAAGAAAGTTTAGTGCATAGCAGTATACATTCATTCTTCCTGACTCCTGAGGAGTTAATCTCCTCAACATGAGGACCCAAGAGGCTTCTATCTTGTGGTCACTAGAGCGCAGTGGCCGTTTTATGAAGCACACACATATCTGGATTAGAATCATATGGCTGACCACAGCTGCCCCAATGCATGTGAAGGCGTCCACATGCCAGCATCGGAAGGGTTGATTCATTTTGCCCCAGGACTCTAAATTTTCACCTGAAGTGATTGTTTTCATCTAAATATGGCCCCAGCTGAGGTCGCCTGTATATGATGGACAGCCCTGGAGGACAGAAAAAGAGAAGCCTTAAGTTCATCAACAATTATGAAATGCCTACTCTGTGTGGTAGGCTGTAGGGCAGTGCTTTAACTTTCTGTAATAGTTGATTACAATTTTCACAGCACTTTTCACATACATTTCCTCACTAAATTCTCACACACACCCTGCAATGCAGCCTGGGTAGGGCTGCGAATATAACATCACCCCTGCCCCGTCCTTTTTTTTTTTAAACAAAAGAAGAAACTGAGATTTACAAAGGACAGGGAGTAACCTTCTGCATCGCAGCCTGGGCCAGGTTCCCCTCAAATGGACATTTGCTCTCTCATGTGGGCACATTGCTGACATCTAATTTATTTCACATCTGTAAAAATTAATTAATACCGTTCTCTCCCCCTCTTCATGATGTGCAGTAAAGGAAGTAATTACAGGACAAAATCTATGAGGGTAGGAGCTTTGTTTGTCATTTTTATCATTGTATCCTTGGCCCCTTGAATACGGCACCAGGCATGTTGAGGGAAGGAGGACCACGCCACCAAACTGTTGGGATTCGTATTGTTCCTCTTTTCAGGGAATATCTGAAGAGGACATTTCCCTTACATCCCAATTCACGTAACCAGGAGTTTTACAAGCTGATGCTTCTGTTGCATGGGGTATGAAACAGTCTGAATCTTTTCATGGTATTTTTAGCCCTATCAGTTACTTTTTACCATTTTGAGTACATGCAAATAACTGGAAAGCCCCTGTATTTTTAATTTTAGTCTCATTTTTAAAAAAGAAGAAGAAGAATAAGAAGAGTTTCAAAAATGGTGAGTAGAGGCAGTCTGACGTCCAGGTGTGTTTTATTTTATGATAAACAGTCAAGCCAATGTAGATCCTACTGAAGACTGAATCTGCAACCAGCTTTGCTGAAAGGATAGGTTGGTAAATGCAACAACTTGAAACAGTGGATTGGAACATTTGTCAGAAAAAACCAGCCAGGCTCAAAATATGTTTGACAAAAGCAAATGTTCTTGAAATTCCAATGATGAGCAGCCCATATTATAAAAAAGGTGTGTAGAAAGTAGAACAGATCACTCTTTGGGCAGGTCCGTAAAGGCCGGAGGAGATCTGAGAGAGGAAGTAGAATCATGGCTGGGAAAGAAGAGATGCTAGGAGTAACCCCAAGTGGCAGCTTTACATTCACGGATAAGCACAGTGGCATTTGACTCGTGCATTGACTGGAAGCCAAACCCTGCATTTGTGACCTTCTAAACAAACTCTAGCTCATTTAATCTTCACCATAGTTCTTGGAGGCAGCTATTATTTATGATTCCCATTTCACAGATCAGGAGACTGAGACTCAAGAAGGTTAATTGCATGCCCAGGCTCGCACTACTAATAAGCAGAGAGCAAGTATTTGGAGACTACCAAAACATTTCCATCGCTGAGCCAGTTATACATTTGACACATGGAAATACCCAAGGATGTTCTGTTTCTCTTGAAAGAGCATCTCCCCGCCTTAGTGTGTGGCTAATTTGGATTCTTGGTTGGCAGTGGTAGTGCTGCTGTCATCTCATCTCCAGCAGATGCTGGTGCCAGTGATCACAGGACTTGGAAGCTGAGTCAGGAGGAAGGGAACATACTCCTCCAAGTCTGCACTAACTCCTGATAACAAGGAATTCAGAAGGAAGGAGTCACTCGGTTTTCTCTCTTTATGTAACCTTCACAGTGCGAGGCTGCAAGCTGGGACAGGGGATACAGAGGTGCAAAAGACAGATGTGCTGCCCATTTTCATGAGACTGAGAGCCTGGTGCAGTTGTCTGTTGTGGGAATTACAAAATAGTAGACAACTGCCCACGGCTGATGTATTTTATTTGGTCCATATGGAATCATAAAATTTTGTTGTTAGTTAGTTCCCAGTGTTTAAAAATTGGGATAGTTTATCTAAAACTCCAGATTTCTGGCTTCTCTGAACAAATCAGAAGATTTGGCAACTCAAGGTCCAATGTTAGGCTGACAGCAATTTGTCATTGCTGAGTAGCGATGTTCATCACAAACCACACCTCTCCCTGTGACTTCCCTAACGGAGAGCGGTGTCGGGTCCCATTTATCATCATAATTTTTTTTAAATTGTGGCGCTAAGAGGAAAGATCCCTAAATAAATTACATCTGCAAAGACTGTTTTCCAAATAAGACGTTGTGGTACCAGTGTCTCTATCAAAATGTACCTTTCACACATCCTACTCGACTCTTTTATATAATGGAATGGCTCCCAAAGGCATTTGTTTGTGACATGTCGAGGATTCCTTTCCTGTAACAAGGCAGAGCCCAGGAGGTAGGAGTGATTGCTGTTCAGGGGAAGGTGAATACCATGTCTCTTTTTTGTAAGCAGGATTGTCATGATCTTGACATGATACTGGGGAAATTTCACAGTTAAATCAGTTTTATTTTGTTTAGAAAAAAAACTTCGTGACAAAGTGCAGGTAAAAGAAACGTGACCTGATTATGAAGTCCTTAATTTAAATGTTACATTCAAGCAGCTGCTAGAACAGTGACTATAACAGTCCCTGGCACATAGTAGATTACTGATAAATATTTGTTGAGTGAATGATTTGAAAATGAAATTTTATGATGCCAACTTCTTTTTTAAAGGAAATAGAACAGGAAAAGGAATCTTTGAAAACATCTTCACCTCTGAGTTTTCTCTGGCTTCCTCCTCCTTTCTTTTCCCCCTCACTCCACTCTCATACACACATTAGATAAAATATGTTAAAGAACATTTTTCATTCCTACATGGTCAAAGAAGGGAGCCAGCACTGGTTATGTTCATGGCCGGGGAAGTGATGTGATCCATGGAGTGTTCTAGCTTTAAAGGAGTAGGTGGGAATTGTTCAGGCTTATTTTAACCTCATGACTTCTGTTTTAGGTGAGTGAGAACATGCATTGTAGGGCTTTACAGAGTTTATCCACGTTCTCCTATCTGGATCTGTGTTGTCCTTGCCTACAATGATCTTCCTCTCTCTTTTGTCTAGATTCTGTCCTAGTCCCCCTGGTTAAGTCCCAGTTCACAAGGACCTCCATGAATCCATCCTGATCATTTCCATCTCCAGTGGCCCCATGCATAATAATAGTATAACAAATAGCAAATACGATAATAACACAGTAACATTAACACTACAAAATAACACTTCTTGAGATTTTACTGTGTACCAGGTCCTGTGTGAAACACTTTACATGTGTTATTTCATTTTTGGTCTTGATACAAATCCAACTCAGTAGGGACTTTTATGATCATTTCCATTTTCCAGATGTGGTAACTGAGTGTCAGAGAGGAAATTACTTGCTAAAGGTTACACAGCTAGCCAGTGGCAGGCTCCATGCTTGAACCCAGCCCTGCCTGACTACACAGCCTCTGCCCTCGTGTATTTACTATGCTGCCTCCCTGATTTCTGACCAGTTCCTGGAGCACTTAAAGTGGAGCAACTACTTCACACTCAGCATGCGCTGCCTTTTATTGCTATGAACACACCTTTTTAGGTTCAGGCCCTATTTATTCAAATAAATTATCAGGCTCTTGAGGGCAAGGAATGATTTTATATCAGCTTGCCTCACTAGGACTTAGCACAACGCTCTCAAATAATAGGAGTCTAGTTAACTGCTCCTTTATTTCCACAGTTCTTTAATCAAACCTCAAAGGCAGCATTTATTACATTTACAAGTCTTATTGTTTGCATCTGTCCCCGCTTCCAGCCTGGAAACATCAGGTAGCCCTCATCTGTGACTCAGCACTGAGCACCTGGGAGCTGCTCAGTAAATATTGCTGAGGAATTGAGTTGATGGTTCTCGTCCATACTGATGATTAACCAGGATTAACGTTTTCTCTTTTAAAGTTCATTTTCCATCTCTGCATGCTGTCTTTTTGTTGTTCTGCATTTACTCAAATTCCTGTATTAGACAGTGAACTTAAACATTCAACCTGAACAAAAATTCAGCAACGTAAATAAATAAATAAATGTAATCCAACATATTTATCCGTTTTAATTTTGTTGTAGCTTTCCCTCGACCTCTATCACACTGAAGATGATATTTACAAACTGTCACTGGTGCTGGAGCCTAGAAATTCTAAATCGGTAGGTATTATTTTCTCTCTAAGCATCAGTGCCACTCACTATTTTTTGTCATTTATAGTAATTGGCTATTACAATGTTGCTTTATGTTCTAAAATGGAAGAATTTTAAAAATTGATACTATTCTTTTTTTTTTTTTTTTTTGAGGCGTAGTCTTGCACTATCACCTGGGCTGGAATGCAATGATGCAATCTCGGCTCACTGAAACCTCCGTCTCCTGCTTCAGGCTGCCGAGTAGCTAGGATTACAGGCACACACTGCCATGCCTGGCAATTTTTAAAATTTTTTTATTTTTAGTAGAGACGGAGTTTCACTGTTGGCCCAGGCTGGTCTCGAACTCCTGACTTCGTGATCCGCCCGCTGTGGCCTCCCAAAGTGCTAGGATCACAGGCGTGAGCGACCGCGCCCGGCCATTATTCATTCCCATTTTATCAATGGGACAGCTTAGCCCTGACAGTTTGAGAATTATGTCTTCATACCAGAGGCTAATAAAGAGGAAGAACATCATTCTCATTACTCTGTTTTATAATTGATCTTCTATTTGTTGTGTTCCTGCTAAGAACTCAATACACCTAGGACCAAAAAGAAAGGAAAAGAATAATAACTCATCTTAATGTTAAAGATCATTTAGACTGTTTCAAGCTTTAAAAAAGCTCCATTCAACATAAAATTAGATTTAAAAATTTAAATATCTTGATCGTGATTTACGAATTTCTCTACTAACCATTGATCCAACTCAGAATTTGGATGTCACATTGGATAGTGTCCACTTAGTAGATGGCAAACTCTTAGTAAATAAACTATATAATGAGATTGAAGAAATTGCATTATTGAATATATACCACTCATTGGTTTTAGTGGATGGATTATATTTTAGCTATGATTTGCACTAATACAAAATGCCTGGATGAGTTTAAAATTTATAATGAGGTTAGCCGGGCACGGTGCTCACGCCTGCAATCCCAGCACTTTGGGAGGCCAAGGCGGGCGGATCCTAAGGTCAGAAGATTGAGACCATCCTGGCTAACACGGTGAAACCCTGTCTCTACTAAAAATACAAAAAATTAGCCGGGCGTGGTGGCGGGTGCCTGTAGTCCCAGCTACTTGGGAGGCTGAGGCAGGAGAATGGCGTGAACCTGGGAGGTAGAGTTTGCAGTGAATCGAGATGGCGCCACTGCACTCCAGCCTGGGCTACAGAGTGAGACTCTGTCTCAAAAAAAACCAAACCAAAACAAAACAAAACAGAAACATTTATAGTGAGGTTAAGGCTTGCATGTTGAAGATAAAATGCCTATGCTTGCTTCTTATAATCACATCTTGAGATCAGTTCTCTTATAAAGATCTCATCCTTACCAGCTGAACTCTATAACATAGTCACTATGCCCCCTAGGTTTATTAATACCTGCTGTGATTCTGAACCATCAGACTGAAGAGACAAAATGGCAGTGAGAGCCGTTCTCTGGCCCCGGCAGGACATGCACTTGAGTCTGAGTCAGTTGAGCTGGTAGCATCTGTTCTTAAAATAGTGCATGTGGTTCCATGAGCATGTTCTCCTTCCTGCCAGTCAGGAGGCTCGTCTCCTGGAAATACTGCAGAACAGAGCCATGCGGGATGATATGGCACATGCAACGGTAGGAGTGAGGACCCAGACCCTTTAAAGCTAGCAAGACTAAGGAAGCTAGCAAGAAAGCCAAAGCTTTTGAAAACCAAAAAGGAATTTGTAAGCCCCTCCCTAATTCTGTAGTTTTGTCATGATGAACCTGGCCACGGTGTGTTAAGGCCTGTTGTATGTGTGCATACAGAATTTCCACCTCTTGGCACCAATTAGGCACCAGAATTGCTTCCAGCTGTTGAATGCCTGGCAGGGCATCATACACAGTTTATCTTATTAACTCTGCTAAGAAAACTAGGTCTGGGCCAGCAGCAGTGGCTCATGCCTGTAATCCCAGCACTTTGGGAGGCCGAGGCAGGCAGATCACTTGAGGTCAGGAGTTTGAGACCAGCCTGGCCAACAGGGTGAACCTTGTCTCTACTAAAAATACAAAAAGTAGCCGGGCCTGCTGGCACGTGTCTGTAGTTCCAGCTACTTAGGAGGCGGAGGCAGGAGGATCACTGGAACCCAGGAGGCAGAGGTTGCATTGAGCTGAGATCATGCCACTGCACTCCAGGCTGGGCAACAGAGCAAGACTCCATCTCAGAGGGAGGGAGGAAAGAAAGAAAGAGAGAAAGAGAGAAAGAGAGAGAGAGAGAGAGAGAGGGAGGGAAGGAGGAAAGGAAGGAAGGAAGGAAGGAAGGAAGGAAGGAAGGAAGGAAGGAAGGAAACAAACTAGGTCTGGTGAGAGTAGGTATCTCACTCGGATCAAACAGCTGCTAAGTTGGAGAGCTAGGATTCAGTGTCAGGCCTGTCTTCCATCCTAGTTCTGCTTCTACCATCCCTCATCTCAGGAACAGCATAGGAATGGCCATTTTAGCACACTTGTCTGCCTTGTGTGCCTTTAGTTTTACTTTAGTTTATTTTCAGGATCAATTTTTTCCAATTTTAGGAGATTTTTCTATCAAACATACAAAAGTCTTTTTATTTGTTGTAAGAGCAAAAGCTTTCAAAAGTCTCTTCCAAGTGCTAAAATCCTATGAATCTAAACACAAGACATTTCCCAGTCTTTCCATCTCTTCTCTAAGTGGAGTGTCAGCCTATTTGACATGTCCTGATGAGATGGGAGAGTTCCCTGGATCCCTTCACTGAGACTTGTGACAGGGGTGTGGCCACATTCAAACCCCTTGCGGGAGGGGGAACATGCAGACAAGTGGGTGCCGCATGGGGGCCGGGGAGAGTGCTTTTGGGCTCTGGCCCCAAGACAGCATTTAGGGGTGTGTTACAGTTAATGCTCTTTTAGCAGTTGCTGTCCATGGATAGCTAAGTGTTAGCCAGCTCAGTGGAGAGTCAGGGTGACAGGCTTTTACACCCAACCTTCTTGGTACCTGGGTCCTTGTCTGGCATCCAAGAAGAATCAGGTCACACGGACTTGAAGGATGGTGAATGCAGAGGTTTTATTGAATGATAGAGGTGGCTCTTAGTAGGATGGGGAGCTGGAAAGGGCATGGAGTGGGAAAATAATTGTATTAGCGTTCTCTTAGAGGGACAGGACTAACAGGATATATATATATATATATTCCTGTGCTGATCAGTAGTGGGATGGTGCCTATGAATAACCACTGCACTCCAGCCTGGGCAACATAGTGAGACCCTGTCTCTAAAATACACACACACACACACACACACACACACCACACACACGTATATATATCTACAAATGTAATTTTTTTTTGAAATGGAGTCTTGCTCTGTCTCCAAGGCTGGAGTGCAGTGGCATAATCTCAGCTCACTGCAACTCCACCTTACTGGCTCAAGCAATTCTCCTGCCTCAGCCTCCCAAGTAGCTTGGACTATAGGCACATGGCACCATACCCAGCTAAGTTTTTTGTATCTTTAGTAGAGAGGGGGTTTCACCATGTTGGCCTGGTTGGTCTTGAACTCCTGACCTCAGGTGATCCACCTGCCTTTGCCTCCCAAAGTGCTGGGATTACAGGCATGAGCCACTGTGCCCAGCCTCTATAAATATAAATTAAAGAGAAAGGATAGAAAAAAAAATAGGTTTGCATGTGTGCACCAGCAAAAATGTTGACATTGTATGAAGCTTTCAGGAAGAGGATATAAAGTGAACACCAGTCTTGGCTGGTCTCCTAAAAGGATTGTGTTCTCTGCTTGTGTTGTCCAAGCATGTTATACATTATGCTACCATCTTTCTCACAGTTTTATGTGCAAATGTCTTGTGAGAATGCAGAAAAATCTGTGGAGAAAGCGAGTTCACCAAAGACGGCCAGAGAGACCTAATGATTGGCAGAACAGTCAGAAGCGCTTAAGCGTGTTGAGCAAGGTGCAGACGTGAGGACATAAACTTGGCCACCCACTGGTACCCATTTGCTGCATGCACCATAACTGATCACTAAGTATTAGAGAATTAGATAACTGGTGTTTTTATATCCTGTATTACACAAAAATCCATGATAGATTGTTATATACATAAGTTTTAGTGATATTTGGAGAACTTGGATAGGATTTTTGGATGGACTGGGAGTGCACTGCTTTTTCCCATTTAAAATAATAGAATTTAGGCTGGGTGTGGTGACTCACACCTGTAATCCCAGCACTTTGGGAGGCCAAGGCAGCTGGATCACCTGAGGTCAGGAGTTTGAGACCAGCCTGGCCAACATGGTGGAACCCCATCCCTAATAAAAATACAAAAATTAGCTGGGCTTGGTGGTGGATGCCTGTAATACCAGCTACTCAGGAGGCTGAGGCACAAGAATCGCTTGAACTTGGGAGGCAGAGATTTCAGTGAGCCGAGATCTTGCCACTGCACTCCGGCCTGGGTGACAGAGAGAGACTCTGTCTCAAAAAAACAAAAAAAAAGTAAATAAAAAATAAAAATAAAATAATAGAATTTAAGTTGCTGTTAAACAAAAGGCAGTATCTAAACATGTATTTAGTTACAGATTAGATTCCATCAACATAAGATGCTTGTTTTATAAGCATTTAAGAGATACATACATGTAAGTTTCTACTGGTATTATGAATATACAAAACTTATTCATTCTTCTCAGTGTCCCTGGTCCTCCTAGTTGCTCAAGGCCCCAGTTAATGTTGAAAAATATGGCCAGGTGTGGTAGCTCACGCCTATAATCCCTGCACTTTGGGAGGCCTAAGCCGGAGAATTACTTGAGCCCAGGAGTTGCAGACCAGCCTGTGCAACATGGTGAAACCCCATTTGTACTAAAAATACAAAAATTAGCTGGGTGTGGTGACACACACCTGTAGTCCTAGATACTTGGTAGTCTGAGATGGAAGGATGGCTTGAGCCCGGGAGGCAGAAGTTGCAGTGAACTGAAATGATGCCACTGCACTCCAGCCTGGGTGACAGAGCCAGACCCTGTCTCAAAATAATAATAATAATAAAGTTGAAAAATATGTGTGTTTTTTGTCAGCAGCCTACCTCCCCTACAACACCCAACAAGCCTGTGGTGCCCCTCGAGTGGGCATTAGGGGTGATGCCAAAGCCAGACCCCACGGTCATCAACAAGCACATAAGGAAATTAGTTGAGGTAAGTGGTTGAGGGAGAATAAAGAGAGGGCACTTGAAGACCCTTTCCCTTTCCAGAATATTCCGCGATTGTCCACGAATCTGATGGAATCTATGAAAACAACCCTCTGGCAGGTAGGAACAATTTAGCAGGCACTTAGTGCTACCTGGCATTGGGCCCTGGGGAGAATCGATCAGGAAGGCCCTTTTCCCTTTGTTGTCAGTCTACTCTCTCTTGCTCAGATACTCTCAGCTACTCCCAGCAATTCTCTTTCCCAGGCATTTGCCACCTCTGTCATTGTCAACAGCTCAAGGGATTGGGGATTAGAATCACTCATGAAAAACCCACATAGGTCCCACTAAGATGCCCAATAAATTGATTACCCAAGGGCAGGAAAGAAATCCTGTAAGTTGGATAGTTTCTCCTTTTGTATAGTTTTGGAATTTTATGACACAGCAGCCCAATGTTATTGAGATCAGAAAAATCACCTAATGTAGGACAAGGCTCTGTCAGAGTTTTCCATGTAGAAAAAAGAGTAGAAGTGCCAATGGGGGGAACACGGAAACATCTAGGGTACAGGAAACTGTGATCCTGAATTAAATGTCGACTTTAATGGATTGGTAGGTACATCTGCTGGTGCAACAGAATTGAGTCTTTGGGACAGAATGTGCTTTTTTCTGGGAGAAGATGTTTAAAGGAAAAGAAAGAATGTCTTACATCTTGGATAATTTAGGGAACTAGGAGGTGCTGAAAGAAAAATTTTGTGGCGCGTGTGAGGCAGGAAGGAAAAGGGTGGTGCCAAGAGGAGTATTAGTGAGGGAAGGTCTGAGAAGGAGATAAGGTCCAATGGAGCCTATGGTAGTAACAGATCCAGCTTAGAGCTGGGGAAGGTGAGAAAAGGATTCAGGGGCCCCCAGGGAATGCAAGGACTGAGTTGCAGCTCAGGAATGTCTGAAGCCAGGAAACGGAAGACAGAGCTGTTCCCTCTCCCAGTCTCATTCTACATACTGACTTCCTCTGCTCTCTCTCTGTCTCATTCTGTCTTCCTTACCTACTCTCTCTTCCTTATTCTCCAAATTCCTTACCATTGGTTCAATCAAACAAAAGACCTGGATTTTATGATGAATTTTACTCCACAAAAAATCTACTTGCAGTATAAATATGGATGTTAAACTATAAATAGTAGGCATTCCAAAATAGTTAACTTTTAAGCTATTTTTATTATAGCTAAGTAATGATACTGGGATTTTAAAAATAAAAAGATAATGTTTTCTGATTTTGCACAATTCTGTTACCTATGAAAAAGCTTGAGATGGGCTCATTTGAGTCATATTTTTAATTAACTCATTCATTTATACCTAACTACTTCCCAAAATACTCCTGAAGCAACTTACAACACAGGGCAATATAGATAGATAGAACAGACAGAAACTACTGGGAAAAGGAGAGAGATTAATTAAAACTGGAATCAAAATCAAATATAAATTTGTGTACATGTGTTTGCAGAAAGAACTTACAAAAGTTTTTGAAAACCTAATTTTGCAGAGGGCAATGGGAAACTTTTTTGTTCTTTTCTGATTATAAAGGAAGGTAGAATCATCAAGAATATTAAAGCAGTACATAAATTATAGAAAATAAAAAGCTTTACTTTCAGGTCTTGGTAATTCTATTCTCCAGGGATAACCACTGATAATTTGTAGATTATCTTATATGACTTTATTCTCTATCTCTATGTATATATAAACACAGATATACTACATACATATATACATGTATGTCTTATGCAACTTTCTTCGAGTTCTTTAGAACAGATTCCTAGAAGTGGAATTGCTGTGTCAGAGAGTAGGCACTTAAAATTCCTGATTGTCCTCCAGAAATATTGTGGCTATTTACATCACTAAATTGATACAAGAGTAACTATTGTCTCATACCCTAGAAGATGATCAGTTACAGTATTTTAAGATTTTATTTTCATTTATATTTCTGTAATGATTAGCAGAGCTGAATAACTTTCCATGGATGTATTGACTATTTGTATTTTTATTTGGTGATTGCCTGTTTGACTTTTGTGTCTTTGCTCTCGCATATGCTGCAAATAACTTGCTCTGTTTGACATTTATCTTAAAATTTGTTAATTGAGCTTTTTTGGTTCAAATTTTTTGCATTTCATTAAATAAAATATTTTTCTTTATGGCTTCTGACATTGATGTCATGCTAAGAAAGCCCTTTTTCACACAAAGATTATGAAACGTGAAAAATATTTTCATCTATTTATCTTTACTGTTTTATAGCTTTGGGTTTTTTTGCATTAAACTATGTAATACACTAGTGCGGAGGCTCATGCCTATAATCCCAGCACTTTGGGAGGCTGATGCAGGAGGATGGCTTGATTCCAGGAGTTTGAGGCTGCAGTGAGCTATGATCATGCCACTGCACTGCAGCCTGGGCAACAGAGTGAGATCCTGTCTCTAAAAAGATAAATAAATAAATAAAATATAATACATCTAGAATTTAGTTTGGAGGTAATTTATTTTGTAAGATTATTAGTCATTTAACTCAGTAGCGGTTATTGGATAATCCATACTTTCTCTGTGGATTTTAAAAGACACTTTTTGATATTTTAAATTCCCATATATACATGGGTTTGTTTCTGGACTCCACTCTCCATGGTAATTTGTATCATGTTGTTTTGATTAGTGTAGCTGTGTAGAATATTTGATTTCTGAAAGGGCATGTTCCGCCTCATTACTCTTCATTTAAAATAATTTTTAGCCTGTTTTCAACGTAACCACTTTGATTTGAACCTTATAATCAATTCGTTCATTTAAAACAAATCCCTACTGGGATTTTGACTGGAATTGCCTTAAATGTACAGTTTATTTTTTGAGATAACACCTTAAAACTTTATTTTCTATTGTCATGGTATTGGAATTTATAAATTCACTAAGCCAATTTCTACTCAACCCTGAGGTTTCAGTTTAAACCTTGCTTTTCCCAGGAAACCTTTCTTAATCTACCTCCTCTTTCCCCCCTACCAATAGCACTCTGTTTTTATTTATTTATTTACTGAGACGGAGTTTTGCTACTGTTGCCCAGGCTGGAGTGCAATGGTGCCATCTCAGCTCTCTGCAACCTCCTCCTCCCAGGTTCAAGCGATTCTCGTACCTCTGCCCCCTGAGTAGCTGGGATTGCAGGCGTTATGCCACCATACCTGGCTAATTTTTTATTTTATTTTATTTTTAGTAGAGATGGGGTTTTCATCATGTTGGTCAGGGTGGTCTTGAATTCTGACCTCAGGTGATCCACCCACTTTGGCCTCCTAAAGTGCTGGGATTACAGGTGTGAACCACCGTGCCCAGCCCAAGTTTTATTTTTAATTTTATTTTAAATTCATTTTTTTGGGATGATGCCTTACTCTATTGCCCAGGCTAGAGTGCAGTGGTGTGATCTTGGCTCGTTGTAACCTCGAACTCCTGGGCTAAGCAAGCCTCCTGCCTCAGCCTCACAAGTGGCTGGGACTATAGGCATGCACCACCATGCCCAGCTAATTTTAAAAAAATTTTTGTAGCAATGAGGTCTCTCTATGTTGCTCAGGCTGGTCTCAAACTCTTGGGCTCAAGTGATCTTCCCACCTCTGCCTCCAGCTCCCAAAGTGCTGGGATTACAGGTGTGAGCCACCACATCCAACCATTACTCTGTTTTTATCCTCAGCAAACTACTTGTCTCTTATGTTATAAAGGCTTCTCGACTTAGTTATCTTTCACTAGATTCTAAGCTCCTTGATAGAAAGGACCATATGCTGGTTATCATTGCTTTCACAATAACAAGTGCAGAGCCTGCCTCATAGTCATTCAATAAATACTGATCTTTCCTTTGCAGTCTGTATTTAGAAACTATGATCATGACCATGACGGGTACATTTCCCAAGAGGACTTTGAAAGTATAGCTGCCAATTTTCCCTTCTTGGATTCCTTCTGTGTGCTGGACAAAGATCAGTAAGTTTTAATTTTGTTTTATTTTACTGCAACTATTGTAAAGCAGAAAATTATTATCAGAGGAGAAAAGGGAAACTTGTAATTTACATCTTGACAGCTTCAACCCTAGTGCTTTGATGAGCCAGGTTTAATTCGTCACTGATTATTTTCTTGGTGTGTATGAACATGACCTGAATGGAATCACAGGGCAGACCGTGTTGTCAGTGTTGAGCACAAGTGCATATTTGTAAATTATCCAAGCACTCCACTTGCTATATTGCCTCTATTGCTTAGCTCTCAACCCCAAAAAATCTCCACCAAAAAAGAGTAGAGGAGAAATATAATTAGATCTAACCTGGGAGAATCTTTGGCATTAGTGGACCTGAAGGCAATCTTAAAACTTATGAGCATTTAAAAAAAAAAAATTTTGGCCAGGCATGGTGGCTCACGCCTGTAATGCCAGCACTTTGGAAGGCTGAGGCAGGAAGATCACTTGAGGCCAGGAGTTCAAGACCAGCCTGGTCAACATGACGAAACTCTGTCTCTACTAAAAATACAAAAATTCACTGGGCGTGGTGGCACAGGCCTATAATCCCAGCTACTTGGGTGGCTGAGGAGGGAGAATCGCTTGAGCCTGGGAGGCAGAGGTTGCAGTGAGCTGAGATAGCACCACTGTACCCCAGCCTGAGTGACTGAGCAAGACTTTGTCTCAAAAAA